CCTTCCCTTCCCTTCCCTTCCCTTCCCTTCCCTTCCCTTCCCTTCCCTTCCCTTCCATTCCATTCCATTCCATTCCATTCCATTCTATTCTATTCTATGTATCCTGGCCTGTTCAACCTGTGGCTTGCTTTCATGGAATTTGTGTGCCAGATGGAGTTGGTAACCCAGTGACACTTTTCATTCTGAGTTTGGAATATGGACTTGTGCAATTGGGGTGTTTTCCCTCCAGAACCTGTTTGGAAGGGAGGGTGAAATAAACACCTGTAGACTCTTGCTGTATGTGTGTTTAGGGGGGGGGGGCGAGCAAGGCAGCACAGAAACAAGCAAGCAGAAATAACAACATCCTTCCTCATCATTTCCCAAGCCTCTGCTAGAGGACTTGAGATTGAAGGAGACACATGACCCTAGGGGTAAGAAGGGATTATTTTATTTTTATATATAGGAAAAGAGGATAATGTTCTCCCTGATGATGCAGGATGTCATTTGTTTCTTCTGTATCCGTTTTCCAGCACCAGAGTGAAGAGTGATGAATCCCTATTCCCATTTCTATTGAATTTAGCCAACTCTATCAGCATTAAACCAGCTTTGAAATCCTTAAAAAAATATTACTCCTCGGTTCAAATGTTCTTTCAATATTGTTTTACAGCTTTTATATACCATCTTTGTCATTATTTTGATGGGGCTTGGTGGAAACCGGCATATTAAAAGACTGTAAATAAATGATAAAATGAATGAAAATAATATAATCGCTCACAGTTCCCCTCTCTCTTTTTGATTTATAGGGTTGTGTGGCAGATTCAAAGGCAAAAAAAATGTGGTTTGGAACACTTGGAGTGTGCAGATGGCATCTGTCTACAATTCCTTTAATCAAATGGAAAAAAAAATAACACACTAGGTTCAGGCTGCAGCTATGTTGCCCCAAGAAAAGACACAATTGCTTTAAGAAGGGGTAGGCTGATGTTATAGATATTTCCAGATTTTTGCCTTCAAATATGGAGCTCTCTTGATGAATATCACTTAATTTAGAACACATGCTTTCCCAATTGTGTTAGGTTTTCAGTTTGGTGTAGTGGTTAAGGCATCAGTCTAGAAACTGGGAGTCTGTGAGTTCTAGAACTCTAGAACAGTGTTTCTCAACCTTGGCAACTTGAAGATGTCCGGACTTCAACTCCCAGAATTCCCCAGCCAGCATTCGCTGGCTGGNTGGAAAGCCTATGCTCCTAGTCCTCAGTGAGGTGCTTCTGCTGAGCCTCCTTCTCGGTCAGATCCAATTTGAACTGTTTTGCCAGCTCTTTCTCCTAGTGGCTGCTTAGCTCCAGCAACAGCTTCCTGTTGGGGCCCTAAGGAGGCCAGACAAGGAGGGGCTGGGAGGGAGGGGCGAGTGGAGGCCGGCAAGGCACCCCTCAAAGTGAGTGATACTGAGTTGGCCACGCCCACCCAGTCACATGAGCACCTTGCCACGCCCACCCAGCCGGTTATTAGGCCGATCATATTAGTGGTCCGCGGGGTTTAAAATTATGAATTTAATGGTCCCTGAAGTCCGAAAGGTTGGATGGATGGAGGATAAATAAAATGGATAGTTTAAATTGGAAACTCAACACTTTCTTTCTTTCTTTCTTTCTTTCTTTTTCTTTCTTTCTTTCTTTCTTTCTTTCTTTCCTTCTTCCACCCTTCCCCTTTAAAAAATCTATTTCTCTTGCTGATGCGGGCATCCCTCCCTCCTCTCTTCCCCTCTCTCTTTCTTTCTCCCCTTTTCTTCTTCTTTAAAGTGTCTTATTTCCTCAATTTCTCCCTCCCTTTTCCTTCTTCTCCTCTCCTCCCCTTCCCTTTCCTTCCTTCCCTTCCTATTTTTCCTTCCCTTCCGTTTCTCACAAGGAATGTATTTCAGGTAAAGACGCTCTCAGTGCTTTGCCCAGAAGTAAATCTCATCACATTCAGTGGCGCTAATTCTAATACCCACCTGTTTGATAAATTGGTAATCTTCGCCTGCCTTTTCAACACAGGTGTCCTGGGTTAAACTCTAGAGGATGGTTAATAGAGGTAAGGATTTCAGGACGTTGTACGTTTTATTTTTAGAGAATCATCCAGTATCTACATCAGCAAATATTTAATGGACGAAGGTGCCAGACTCCACATCTACGATCCCAAAGTACTGAAAGAGCAAATCATTCTGGATCTTTCTCACCCAGGGGTGTCTGAGGATGACCAAGGTGAGAGGGATGAGCTTTCTAAAGATGTCTCAGAAAGGAGACAAAAAAAATCTTTGTTTTTTTAATGTTCTTAAAAAAAGGATAAAGTTTACCCCTCAGTTATTTTTGTTAGGTATAATTACTGANCATTTAGGCTCCATTCCAAGTTATTACAGAATAGCGGAGTGGTTAAGATGCTGAGCCTGTCGATCAGAAAGGTCGGCAGTTTGGCGGTTCAAATCCCTAGCGCTGCGTAACAGAGTGAGCTCCCGTTACTTCTCCCAGCTTCGAAAGCATGTAGAAATACAAGCAGAAAAATAGGAACCACCTTTGGTGGGAAGGGAACAGCGTTCCGTGCACCTTCGGGGTTTAGTCATGCCGGCCACATGACCACGGAGACGTTTTCGGACAGTGCTAGCTCTTCGGCTTTGAAACGCAGATGAGCACCGCCCCCTAGAGTGGGGAACGACTAAGACATAGGTGCATGGGGAACCTTTATCTTTTATTAAGCCCTTTGATGCTGGAATCCAGAGCTGTCTGCACGCGGAATCTCTGAATCCCTTTGAAGGCAGGCAGAGTCCCAACATCAATAATAGTTGGACATTCTCTCACCTGGTCAGAAGGCAGCAAGAGTGATGTTACCTGCTTGTCAGACTGCACGGAGATTGGGCCACGTGGCTGATTGTTTTGAGAGAGTAGAAAATATTTTACTTTTAATAAGGTGAAAACCACGGGAGTTTTCAGACTCGGTTTTTGCCAGATATGTGCCAATATGATATTTCCAATAAAATTATTCTTTCAGGAGCTCAATGGCCTCGGAGTCTTGCTTGCCATAGATTTATTACTTGGAGCCCTGACAAATAGTAAACAAGGCTAGTGATCTAACGTCAGTTTCTGTCCCGACCGAGGCTTCCCAAGAGCATGAAGCAAACTCCTGGTCCCGACAAAAAACCCTTTTTATTCATTGACTGTGAATTCTGCTCATTCACATCCACCAAAGTCTTTCAAGGGAGGATTTACAGTCATAGACCTTATCTGGCTTGGAGAGCTGCCAGGCCGAGATCTGCAAAAGTTGGCAAGGAGTCTCGGAGAGTCACGAACCAATTAAGTGAACTAATTGTCTCCTGCAAACTCCACTCCTCTTTCCTTCCTCTTTTATTTCCTCTATGAGGGGCCATTCATTGTCCACCGGTGGCCTTACTCCCAAGTCGATCCTTGTTCTATAGCTCTTCCCTTTGTCTGGCAGCTCTGCGCATGCGCACACTGGGAACAGGCTCCAGCTGTTCTTCTGCCTCACTGATGTCTGACTCTGAAGGGAGCTGATAACTGGCATATGGCTCTGGCCCTCTCTCTCCCTCCGACAAAAAGCCCTTATCAGAGCCTTCCCCAGACTCCAGGACTGGCCCATCTTCCTCCCCAACCTCCTCACTCTCCGAGTCTGCTGCCAGCTCCGCTGGTGGGCCACAACACTTTCATCGTTTCCTTGCGCTTCGTTGCCTGGTTCCTGCGTCTCAACCAAAATAACTTTGTGCTTCGCTTTCTCTTGGCTTCAACCCCAGGCAGCCAATGCGTTCCTCGCACAGCGGATATCCAGTATCAACTCGATCAGTGCCCTGTGTGAAGCCACGGGCGCCGATGTTGAAGAGGTGGCCAGAGCCATCGGAATGGACCAAAGAATTGGGAACAAGTTCTTGAAGGCCAGCATTGGTAAGTTCTCAAGCGCGGCGGCGTTCTACTTGCGAGAGATCCAAGGATGAAGAAGTTTAGTTAAAACTGTTTCTAGGCCTCCCTGAAAGGCAAAAAAATAAAAATAAAAAATCTATATCAACCTGGCTTCTGCAATACAGATATTCCTGACCACCACAATTGAGCTAAGCAAGACGGTGGTTAAGTGAGTTTTGCCCCTCTTTACGACTTGTTTGTTAAGTGAATCACTGCCGTTGTTAGTCAAACGGTTGTGAAGCAAATCTGGCTTCCCCCATCGACTTCGCTTGTTGGTAGGTCGTAACAAGGGGAATCATGTGATCCCAGGACACTACGGCCATCATAACTGCGAGTCAGTTGTGCCAAGTGTCCAAATTTGGGAATTTGGACACTTGGCACAACTGACTCGCAGTTATGATGGCCGTAG